AGTCTTAACATCAAGTTGCTCAAGCTCAAGATTCAAACTAACGATTAATCTTAGTACTACTCGAATGAAACTCATTTTCACAACTGAAGAGAAGATCTTATCAAAATCAATGCTAGGTTTTTGAGAAAAACCTTTCACCACCAATCGAACTTTATACTTACTAACTTGTCACCATCTTTTTTTAACTTGAACACCCATTTATTCTTCAACGATCTCTCTTTTTCTAAGGTATAACCAGATTGTATGTACCATTTTTTTATAATGACTTCATCTCTTCTTTCATTACTTTTAACTAGTGCTCTTTATCTGGAATAGTTTACACATCTTGAAAGTTATTTGATTTTTCATTACTGGTAACTAAAATAAAATATGAATTTGAATACCTGATTGATGGCTTGTATTCTCTGGTAGAGCTTTTGAGTTGAGACATTACATCACTTGATGTCGAAGGTAGCTCCCTCTACTCAACACTTTTTGGTAGAGAGGACTGTTCACCTTGTTCAACACTTATAGATAGAAAAGATTGTTCTTCCTACTCAAAATTGATTGCATTTGGCTCATCATTAACTGTGATTGGTTCATTTATATCCCCAAGTTTTATTTTTTACTCATTTCTATATCTATAGCTTTTTCTTATGGAACCTCTATAGGTGTTGAAATATCACACTTAACAGTAACCCACGTAATCTTTTTATTTTTCTCAAAATCTACTATGATTTTTTTTCATAAAAAATCACATCTCTGCTTTTGACTGTCTTTCTTTTCATTGGATCCCATATCCTGTAGCCAAATTTCTTATCACTATATCTTATAAATACACACTGTGTGACTTTACTATCAAGCTTTGCCTCTGCTTATTTGACATATGCATGAATACTTTACATCCGAAAACTTTCAAGTGAGAGTATAAAGCATCTTTTCATATCCACACTTTTTCTGAAATGTCAAAATCCAAAAGAACTGATGATGATTTGTTAAGCAAATAACAAGTTGTGTTTACTTAACCCAAAAATGGTTTTAGTAATTATGCTATCCTCAACATACATCTGACTTTATTCATAAATGGTGCAGTTCATCCTTTTAGTTGCACAATTATGCTATGGTGTTTCAAGTTCTATCATCTCATGCTTGATCCCATATTTTAAACAGTATTTGGATATGTATTCTCTACTATTATTAGTTCGAATACACTTCAAGGGTACCCTGTCATCCTTTCCATTATGGATGAAATTTTTAAAAATACTGCAATACTTAGCTTTTATTTTTTAACATGTACAACCAAGTCTTACATGAAGCATCATCAATAAAAATAACAAAATACCTATGACTGCCTAATGACTCAACCTCAATAAGACCACATATGTTAGAGTGAATCAATTTTAAAATATTTTTTTTCTCTAAGAACTTTTATGAAAAAAACTCTATGATGCTTGCCAAACAAATAATAATCACATGAATCAAGATTCATACCTTTAGTCAAGGTAATGAAAGATTGTATTGCCAAAATTTGTAATCCTTTCTCGCTCATGTATGTCAGCCTCTTGTGTCACAAGTTTATTGAAGTATTATCCTCAACAGCATTTATTTGGTTACCATTCAATTATATTCATGTCTTGTACATTGTGCAGAATAATTTTTCCTTTACAACTATCATAGATCCTTTGAGAAGCTTTCACTGCTCATTTTTTTATCAACTTTTATATCTTTCCTTATCAAGAGCATTAATAGTAAGCAAATTCATTCTCATATCCAGAATGTGTCAAATATCTCTCAAAATCAACATGTAACCTGTACTAGCTTGTAAAATAATATTACTATTATCAACAATTTGTGACACATTCTTGCTTCCTATTTTGGTGTAACCAAAGTTTCTTGCTTTGTAAGTTGTAAACAACTCTCTCTTAGGGACATAATGATATGTTGCTCTTGTGTCAATTATCCACTAAATGTCGAGATCACCAACATGATTATAATTACCATTGTACAAATCAAAGTAACTGATTCACTATTTAAATTCACTATTATAATATTACCATCATCTGAACTCTTGTCTTTCTTATCTTTTTTTTTTGTTTCAAGATTTTGTAGCATCATTTTATACGACTTGCTTTACCATAATGAAAATATTTTAGTTTATCTTTATATTTGTATCTATGTTTAGACTTACTACGACCTTTTGAATTCTGACCTTTGTTGATGTTTCTACTTATGTTTTTTATGATTAAAACTTGATTCTCAGGGTCAATCTTTTCGCCTTACTTTTTCATTAAGCATACTATTTTTTACCCTCTTTAATGTCGTCTTGTAATCAGGAATTGAATTAAAAACAGTCACAATTAAAATATTCCAACTGCCTAGCAATGAACTCAAAAGAAACAACACTTTCATTTCATTATCCATTTTAAACTCCATAGTAGTCATCCGATTAAATATATCTTAAAAATCACTCAAATGCTTTGTAATCGATCATCCATCCTTATATTGTAAAGTTACAAGCTTTTTAACAAGCATAACCTTATTCATACCTATTTTTCTCTCATACAATGCTACCAATTTTTTTCAAACAATATGACTTCTGTCTCCTGTGCTACATGATAGAACACGCTAATATCAACTTATTTTTTGATTGTAACCAACATTTTTTTCCTAACTTCTTCAATGTTTTATCTTTCATATTTGTTAGTTTAGTCGAATCGCCTAATACTGGCTCATACAAATATTTGCAGTATAAATGATTTTTCATCATAAGCTTATAAAATTGAATAATTTGATGTTGTCAATTTTATCATGAAACTTGTATCACCCTCTATGATCTCAAATAGAATTTACTTATGTTTTGGGTTGCTTCTGTATCGATGTTTCAAAATAACCCTTATTCTGATACCACTTATCGGGTCTAAAGCAACAAACACAACAATCTAAAAGCAATATATCGAAATAAACCCACGACAATAAACAACAATCAACAATCAACAATGCAAAAAAAATAAAACACACTAAGATTTATGTGAAAAATCTTTCAATGTAGAGGGAAAAAAATCATGGACTACTAGAAAATTTTTCACTATCAAATAATAGATATACAAAGTTCTCCTCTAGCTAAAATTAGAGCTAATCAATAACTAGAGAGACAATTGAAAAAATCTCATCAAATAGATGACTTAACAAATACACTATGAATTTGTTTTTAGAAAGTTTCAAACCCGATCTTCATCGTTCAAAATGTAGAACTTTGAATCATAAACCTGTTGATAAAATTTTAACTCAATTAGACCACAGATTAACTTTTATTCAATCAACTCTCCTTTCTTTCTTTTCTCTATATTTTTTGGCTTTTTTTCCTTGGTTTCAACACCATTACACTCTCATTCATGCCTAAAAACTGCCCACTTTTCTTTTAATATGTAAGGCTATTTTAAGGTCAAAGATAACAAGGCTTTAGGCCTTTTAATTGGCCAAAACCAATGGCATGAGACTGGACCCCATAGTTCCTAATAGCTTCATTGTTTGTAATTTAGTAAATGACAATATTAGATGTAAAGGTATCCTTACATACAAAACTTTTTGTTACTACTTTATATGGATGCCAATAAAATTTTGGAACACTAATTGAAAGCTTACATGCCTTATTGATGATGCGGTTGGGATTGGATTGAGATTGAAAGAAAAGAAAAAAAAAAGGAGGGGGAAAGCAATTTGAAGGTTTTTGAGCAGAATCTAAATAAATGCCAAATGGAACTCAGTTTTTTGAAGTTCTAAATAAAATAGAAAATTTGTGGAAGAAATTCCTTTTCAAAATAAGAATCATATTATCAAATGCAAGTAAAGAGAAAATGAATAAGCCTTGATTGATGTTAGTTTTATCATAAAACTCATGTTGTTTAACCGTTCAAGCTTAAATATTTTCCCTTTTCATGAGTGATTAACTAACTATAATCACTTATGCTTAGAGAAGCTAGACTTGAGAATGCAAAGAAGTTAAGTTAAGTTTCTTGGAACTATAGTATCAATTGTAAGATCATTAATAAAGACTTTATACATGGATTTGTGGATTGGCAATATGAGAATTAATCTCTTGCCAATTTTGTGAACTCAAGCAAATAAATATTAGATTGCATTTGGTTCAAAGGTATCCACAAATTTTTCTTCGAAATTTTAATAATGGATATTTATTTTTTACGTTTGGTTTAGAGTAATCTAATTACAAAAGAAAATGTTAGATTCTCAATAGTACCTAAAGTCATGGAATCAAAAACCTACCTCTCTCGGTAGTATTTTAGATTTCTAGAGGGAAAAGTTACCTTATTTTTAAATTTAATATGAATAAAAAATTTATCAATTATCTGTTATCTTTTTGAAAAATAAGTTTGAAACTTAGCTTAATTTTTTTTCAAAAAAAATTTATTTTATTTTTAATCTAGTTTTAATATGTGATAATTAAGGTGTTTACAAAAAGAAATGTCTTAATTGATCAATTAAAACGTTTCATCCTACAAACATCTTAATTGATATCAATTAAGGCATTTCTTCCTATAAAAGTATCAAATAAGATATTTTCTTTTTACAAATATCTTATTTGATAGACGAACTTTTAGAATTTTTACAAAAGTAAAGAAGACATTTCTTTGAATAAATATCTTACTTGATACTTTTTCTAACATATTTACATAAGCAAATAAAATATTCAGCTCTTCTAAACACCATAATTAATTTTTTTTATATTTTAATATAATTATGGCTTAGTGTCTAGTTGAACATCATGATTTGGTATATTTAATTAAAAAAATTAAAATCTTTATCATTTGGATTTTTTTATTAAAACAAAATAAAAAATTACCTATAATTTGTCAAATAAATTACGATAATTATATATGAATTAATAAATCAAAATTGTTTTAATTAAATGAGTGAATTTGATTATGAAATATCTTAAAAATTAAACAAAACCTCAAATATCAAACTTTTTCAGATATCATATTTTAAAAAAAAAAAATTTAAAATTTCTTAAACTAAACACCTAACTAGAGTTTTTATACAAGAGTGCTGGCAAGCTTAAAACCAATAAAAACTTTCTAATCTTGCTTCAAGTAACCGGGCGAGTTGGGCAAACTATAAGGGTCAATTATGCGGTACAAAAATGTCATCAGATTGTTTCTTTTTTCATTTTTCCTTTTGATCCGACATCATATTATTTCATAGTGTGGTATCTTTGCAAAATCCAAAGTCCCCCCTTTCCTCCCATCTTTCTCACCTCTTTTCTATAACTTAGGAAGGTGACCCGTTTATCTTCTGCCTCCTACATAGAATAGCACCACCCCGAAAGGTAAAGGCACATACAGACAGGAGATAAGATGTGGGGAGCAAGTGTAACTGCTGTAATGGTTTTAACGGAGTTCCTAGATGTTGGCTTAAACACTGTAAATAAAGCTGCCATGAACAGAGGACTCAGTGATTTTGTTCTAGTTTTGTATTCAAACATCTTTGCCATCTTCATTCTTGCTCCATGCATTTTCATCTTCTACAGGTAATTAACTCTATATTACTATATACTTTCAGCTTTTGTAATTCAAATTCCAAGAACTTGGTAGCAATAAATTCAATCATCTTTTCTCTATACCTGATAGAAAAAGAACCCCACCCCTGATTACATGGTCCACCATCTGCAAAATCTTCCTTCTAGGCGTGCTCAGGTACTTTTCCCTGGACTTTAACAAAAAGATAACCTTAGATATATAAAAATCTGGTGATTACAACTTGAGTATTTCAGGATTTACTTTTCAATTGGGTTGCAGTTATGCTGGACAGATATGCACATACATTGGATTAGGATATGCCTCTCCAACTCTGGCCTCGGCCATGGCTGATCTTACTCCAGCCTTCACCTTCTTATTCTCCATCATCTCTAGGTGCGTTCTGGTTTCTGTTTATTTTCAGAGTCTAAACTACTTTCTGGAGCTTTTGTTTTCGTTTGTATCATGATTAATAGACATTGTTAATGGCTGGTGAGTGATTCAGAATCATTAATCTGTCTACATCATTTCCTACCCTTGTGGCCTCAGGAGCCTAGCGTGGTTGTTTCACATCCATTCAACCGGCTTCTAAAAATATCTTACAGAAACGTTTATTTTATTAATTGGTTGTCAAGCGTCCCTGCACTCCCAAGATGATAAATAATGTAGTTGCTTTAAAATGTCTTTGTCGTCGGAGCCCCATGTCTATAGATGAGTTTATATGGATTTTCTTAAAGATTGAAAAGTTTAAAGAAAATTTTTTTTAATATCCTCGAAAAATTTTTCTCAACACTCTTTCTGTCATAAAAGTAGTAAACTCATCACTAGTTTTTTTAAATATATAAACGAAATTTTTTGTTTTGAATCTGCCACAGTTGACTGTCGTAATTTTTTTTTTTGGAAGAAAACCTTTCTTTCAATCATCAACCATAAAAATACTACAAAGAAAAGTTATGTTAGAAAACAAACCCCTAGTCGGTTGATGACCAAAACAACCGGTAAAAAGTCGCAATAACTCTGACAAAGCCCAAATCCTAATCGGCACAAGCAAACAAGAATAAGACTTCCATTAAAGGTTAATGTAGGAAATATCCTCGTAGAAGACGAAAAGCATAGAATTCAAGCCACATCCTCAGTTAGAAATTTCAAAACAAGGGGACGCTAATGAAAGAATAGCGAGGCTTTGAAAGCAAAGGAACTCCGTTCGTTATACTGTCAACCCCAGTACAAAGATGCACAGCCTTATGCCCTAAGCCACACGGACATAGGAGCAAGTAAAGAAATAAATGATAAAGTGGTACTTATGATCGTGAATTTGATTTGATTAAAATTTAAATTTGATTTAATTATTATTGAGTTGAATTTAAATTTAATTAATTTAATTTATCAAATGAGTTAAATTTGAGTATATTAATATTTGACTCGAATAATTTGATAATTTATTTGAATTTTTATATTATAATATATATTTTTATTATTTTAATAAAAAATAATTATTTTACTCTTACATATTAATTTGAGTTTGAATTTGGAAATAAAAAATTGAGCTTGAATTTGAGCATATAAATTGAATTCATTTTTTATTTGATAAATGAATTTTATCAAATAAATTTTATTAATTTAATTTTTATTTTAAATTAAATTTAAATATTTAAATTTAAAAATTAAAATTCGATTGAGTTCATGTAACAAGTTGTGAACGGAACTTAAACTCAATTTTCTTATTATATTGACTCTGACTTAGTTAAGTTGGATTACACCTTTAGGTGACAGGGCCGTCTGAAAATTCAATAAGATAAAAAGTTATTTGTTTCTATTTTTAAAGCCATAACATCCAAAAGTGGGACGTGCATTTCTTTATGTTGGGGATTACCTTTTGGGATTTAAAGTTTGCAAAGATTGAACTGTAAAAGTACTGGAAGTGGTCTTTTCAAATTCACAAATAACTAAAAGCTTTATGGGAGGTTCATTAAAAAAATTTGGTTGAAGAAATTGTATTTTGCAAATAAGATGTTAGAAGAATTTCCTAATCACAGTCATGAAAGAAAGATTCTAGAATCGGTAGTCGAAAAGCCTATACTATATTGTTTAGCTGTCAATAAGCGAAAGACCTGAATGGGATGGTCAATGGTGTGTTCAGGATGGAGAAGCTGGACTTGGGAATCAAAAGCAGTCACGCAAAGTCTTTAGGCACTTTGGCATCAATCTCTGGGGCTTTAGTTGTGACTTTATACAAAGGCATGCCACTTACCGGTACTCCATCAAAGAACAGATTGCTTGACGAAGTTCTTGTGATTCCTCAATCAAACTGGATAGTTGGAGGTTTTTTGCTTGCATCTCATAGTGTTATCTTCGCAATTATACTTAATGTTCAGGTACACCCCCAATGGCCAATGGTTATACAATAAAACATGTAGTTGTAATTTTTTGGACAATTTGCTCCAAAATACTGGAGTTGTAATTTTCCCTTTGCCTCTCAAAATCTACAGACTTGGATTATAAGGGGCTACCCTGCAGAGATGATGGTAACACTCATTTGCAACATCTTTGTCGCCATCCTATCTTCCGTTGTCTCTGTGATCGTAGAGAAGGACCCAAATGCTTGGAGACTTGGGCTGAATATGGAGTTAATAGCGATTGTGTACACAGTAAGCATAGATATGTCCTGAATCATCTCTTGTCTAAAAATTGGAGTCAACTTGATGCACCTCTTGATTTCTAGGCAGCTTTCGCGGTAGCATTTCGAAGTGTGGTTCACAAATGGGCGTTGCGCAAGAAAGGGCCTATCTATGTTTCCATGTTTAAGCCACTAGGGATGGTCATCGCTCTTGCAATGGGGATTACCTTTCTTGGGGACAAACTTTATCTTGGGAGGTGAGTACAATTTTTTCATGGTTTCTATTTGCTTTCCTAGAAATTAGTTTGGAGGAGATAACCATTAGGATTTCAATTTAATATGTGTGTGCAGTTTACTTGGAGTCGCCATAATTGCTATTGGATTTTATGCTGTGATTTGGGGGCAAGCCCAAGAAGACAAAATGGTTGCAGACACAGAAATTTGTGACTCTGAACAATCCTCAACTAAGCACCCTCTACTCTCGAACAGGGGCTTGGTGGTATAGTGGTTTTAAGAAAACATTAAAAAAAAAAAAAGTGTTGGTGAAAAATCTAGGAGGAAAATGGAATAAGTATGTAGATCTAATCCCCCGCCTCTCATCAAAATCCTTTTTTACGTACAACAAATTGAAATAAAAAATATTCCAATAAATTGTGATTCAGATTAGCATCTTGAACATTTTTTTTTAAGGAAACTGATTGACCTTTTATGTAAGACTAGTTTTGATACACCCACGAAATATTCTTTTATATTTGAAATGAAATTTTTATTTTTTTAATAATAAAAATAAATATGTATTCTCAATATAAAATATAGTGTAGATAAATAATTATAATATCAAATGGTTAAATTAATTAATTTGATTAAGCTTTGATGGATGATTTTTTTTCATATTGATGTTTAACTAGATAGGTGGTAATTATAGGAGCATTTAATCTTGAAAAGTCTTATTATTTTATACTTTTTTAAAATGCAATTCATTATTAGATAGGTATTGTATTATTTTTTTATTTTGAATTTCAATTATACTTTATAATTTATATAAAAAGGCAAATTGATGGTTTATTTTTATAATTTATATCTTTCAAGGATAGGGAAGTGATACATGTATACTATGAAAAAGATTTCTATAAAGTTTTTAAAGTGAAATTCGTGAAATTTTTTATTAGAAATAAATAAATAAAAATTAAAATCAAAAATAAAAATTGATAGATTGAAAAATCTCATCACATAGATCAAATGTATAAAATTTTAAAAAAAATTTAATAATTTTAAGTATATTTATTAAATAGATATTTTCAACAAAAATATTGATATAATATTTATCGTTGGAATAAGTATCGCTCACAGTTGAGTTATAAATAATATTTTTTTATATTTTTTATATATTATTAATTTTTACATTAAATTTAATTAATATATCAATTTAAATTTTTTATTTATTATATGTAAAACTTTACAAACTTTAATTATAAAGCTTCACGTAAGTTTTGACTTGTACAATAATATGAGTTTGTTGGATTTTGTGGGCTGTGAGAGAAGTTTTATTGCCAGGAGCAAGACGGTGGGTAGGAGATGGGCGGAGCATAGATGTATGGCATGACAAATGGATAAACAAACGGCCTAGCTTCAAACTTGTATGCCCACCGGTTTTAGAGGGTCAACATTTACAAGTCGTTGCTCTGATGGATAATAATAGATGAACATGGAACCATGAAATGTTGAATGGTTTGTTTTGTCAAGAAGACATCAATCTAATGCTCCAAATATCTCTGAGTTGACGCCTGACATCAGATAGGCTGACCTGGATTGACTAAAAATGGGAAAATTTTCGGTGAAATCGACTTATCATGTGGCTAGAACTCTATTAGGGAAAGAAGTAGGCAACAGAGATATTAGTTCTCCAGTGTGGAAGATGGTGTGGACAGTAAGGTTATTCCAAAAGTAAAGCTTTCCATGTTGAGATTGATACGGGATATATTGTTAGAAAAAATAAATAAGAGAAGAAAAATAATAAAAAAGAATTTTAGTTTTAAAACATGAAAAATATTTTTTTTAAATTAATTATATTTTTAAGATACAATAACATTTTAAACTTTTAATAAGAAGCAGTAAAATTATTATATTAAAAGATTTATTTATATTGAATGAACAGATATAAATTTTTATTCAATGGTTATGACTTTCTGTATAATTATTACTTTTACGAATAATAATCTATTTATATTTAAATAGTTATAACTATTTGTTATATGATAATTGTTTCTTTTCAAACATAATTATTTAAAATATGAATAAAATTAATGTAAAAAAGATTTATTTATTCATCAATAATTAAATATTTCTATTCAATGTGGGATGCACCACATTCTAAATTACCAACAATCCATCACTAGTTTAGAATATTGGTGCTTGATTTTTACCTTTCACACAAATAAATATTATGAATATAAAAAGTTATCTCTCGATTTAAACCTTCAATTAGTGTGTATATCTTAGAATTCTAATGAAGTTGATGGTGTCCATAGATTAAATCTCAACTCTTAGTGTTAGAATTGAAGATATAATGCACATAATACTTGTTTATTCTTTTGTCAGATACTTATAACCATTTTTAGCACTAGTATTGCCATGTGCTTATCTTATTCATAAATATTTACAAGAGAAGCTCCAATTCTTCTTGTTGAAATGGCACCGCTTTTATGTTTATATAGGTAAGATTTCTATTATGTCTCTATTATTTTAGACATTTAAAACTCTATTAAGAGATTAAAAACTCATTCTTACCATGTAATGTATTACAACAGTTTCTAAATTTTGAATGAATTTTACTAGTGTTTAATAGACACATAACAATAACTTGTTTTTACCCATTAAACTTTGTAATTAGATGTTACTAATTTAAAGTTGGGTTTCCATTATTAATGTCTAATAGTAAGGGTTTATATCCATTCTGCTTATGGTACTACTAGCCAAATATTTTGAAATTCAATTTTTTTTATAGTAATTACCTTCACTTGAGATTGAATCTCTAATATAATCACTTTAAGCTAATATGCCCAAACTTTTTATTTTGCATATCATTTATATGCCACAGACATTATTGCCTCATTTTTATCATTTTAAGAAATAGTTGGTTTTGGTTGTGGCCACAACTCTATATTTATTAATTTTAACCATTCTATTTTCATAATTTTATATATTTTTAATACAATGATACTTCTAGTACAATTGGATATACTCAATAAATAAACCAAATGATTTTAGTCCTTTTACGATTTTTAAGGACCTTTTGATGACTTTACTTTAATAAGTGTTTAAACATATTAGCTTCTATAATTTGCTCATAAAATTATACTAAAATCTTACAACATTATGGTGACAATTTTTATTTCTTTTGATTCTTATCACACCCACAATGTGCAAGTATACACTCTTCTATTAAAGAATATCTCATTCAATTATCAAAATATTATATATATTTAATCAAGTTGCCATTTTATTTATCTTTTCACTATTTGGTGTTTTTCTTTTTTTAAAGTAGGAGGCCTTTAAATCCACTTTTAGTTAAAGATAATTAGCTGATATCTTAATATTTCAATAAAAGTTTCAAAACTTTTACATTTCAACTAAATATAAGAGTTCACATCAATAAGCAGATTTCAAATATAATCATGCTTCTATGGTTTCTTTTTAAGACTTTTATGTCAATTCATAAATATTTATATAAATCTATTTTATCATTAACACCATTAATAATTTTTTATTACCATGAACAAAATCATTTTCATCACCCAAATGGATCAAATAGCATTCTTTTTGCTATTATAAAAGTTTTCAAATTCATAAAATCTTTGAATCACTCATAGCTTCCAAAGTAAATATACTTTGAAATTTTCACTGTATAAAACCATAGATGGTAAATCATTTATACAATTCATGAATTAGACCATATATATAACAAAAAATTGCCACAATGTGATCAAGATTGTGAAATCAATTTTGGCGTATGGCTATTCTAAGCCCACCATAATAATTCACCTCATACCAATAAATCATGTAGATTTTGGCTATTAAAGTTATCTCATTTATAATGATGGCTTTTAGTGAAAACTAATATTGTGTAGCTTATATATCTCTATTATTTATCACTTTTAATTGGTTAAAATATTTTTAGATATGTAACAAATTCAAACTTTACTCATAGGACCAATATGCCTATATACAATAAGAGTCTATAGTATATTTAACTCTAATTTCAAATACTTTCACAATCATTTTGTGACTAATATGTTCATAGCTAGATCACCATATCAATGCAAATCATAAAATATGAATCCAAAGAATCATTTTCATAAAATAGTATAAACAATAATTATAATATGAGTTCTACTTATATTTCATGCAAAAATTTATAATAAATTTGTATTGGTTAAATCATTGATTGGCTAACTCTAAGGCTTATGACTTTCACAAACCTATATTATTATCTAAGCCCATATGTTAATATGATCAATAACCAGCCACATCCTTACCATTATCATGAAACTATTGAAAACTTTAAAAACTAGTAAACTTTTCATTTTAATAGCCTACAAAAGGTCATTTTTTTGGGTACAAGAAGTAAAAATACCTTTAATGTCTTTAACCAATAATGTATTGATTGGCTAACTCTAAAGCTTATGACTTTCACAAACCTATATTATTATCTAAGCCCATATGTTAATATGGTAAATAACCAGCCATATCCTTACCATTGTCATGAAACTATTGAAAACCTTAAAAACTTGTTAACTTTTCATTTTAATAGCCTGCAAAAGATCATTTTTTTGGGTACAAGAAGTAAAAATACCTTTATTTTCTTTAACCAATAATGTATTAATTGGATGATAGCATTCTATTTTCATAGTCCATATCTTTTATATGTATACGAAAGAAAATTTCATCCCATTTAGTTCATTTTCATAATATATGGCAAACATATCAATGTTCTCTATGCCATCACAAAAAGGAATTAAGCACATGTATGTATTGGTGCCTTTGAAACATTGAATTTGAATGTTCTTTTCTAATTTATAAACATGCCTAATTAGACATTGATGAGCATCCTTCAAAATGCTAGTAATTGACAAGTGCTTTAATATTTTTTAATGGCATGCCTTTTCATTTAATAAATATCCCATATGAAAAAAACAACAATGCTTTTTAGTAACTATTGATTAACTCTTTGATGACTTTTTATGATTTTTACTTTGTGATTGTTCACAATAAAATTTTATTTTATAAAATCATTTCTAGTGTAATACACCCAACAAGCAAAATACATGTCACACTGCCCGTGTTTCTGATAATAATCATTATTTGATTTATTATCCACCAATTAATCCATGAAACATCATATTTTAACAATATTTATTCACATATATCAATTTAATTTTAATTGGTTTTCATGAAAATTAAACACTAGTTAAAATTTAAACCAATAATAAATTTTAAACATATGTATCAACATTTGATTTATAAATGATTAACAAAGATAGAATCATAAAAATAGTTTAACTCAACTTATTATCTCAATTTTGGTGCTATGATTTAATAATAAAACTAATCTTGTAGCCAAATCTTATTTTTTGCATATATTCTCTACTTGCATCTAATTTCTCAAGGCAAATTCCTTTACCCATTTTTGATTGTTTTTATAGAAACTATGGGACAATTTGC